AAATGTGGGCACAGGGCACGGAGTGAGGGGGGAGGGTAGCAATGAAAAACATTGATGCTGCTGCTGCTGCTGCCGTAGCCCGTACACACAAAAAAAAAAAAAACAGGCTACAAGAAAAACACGGCCAAAGATAAGACAGGTCGGACGGTGTACACCAAAAAATGTGGGCACAGGGCACGGGGAGAGGGGGGTAGCAATGAAAATACATTGCTGCTGCTTGCTGCTGCCGTAGCCCGTCGCAAAAAAAAAAAACAGACTACAGTGGGGGCTACGGTTTAAGAGAGGGGTGTGCGTGATCCAGAAGACCTCTCTTACACACGACCTTCTCTTAATCCGATTTAAGAGAGGTTTTCTGTTAAACAGAACTTTCGGTTCAAGAGAAAACCTCTCTTAAACCGAATAGATGGCTTTTAACAGGGTCTAACTTGATCGAAGTGATGAAACATTTTTTTAATTTGTGATCCACAATATTTTCGTGCGTTAGAGGGCCCTCACTCAGCGTGATCCCTCCTTATTGTTGTGTACGAAGCAAACAGCAGTAGCAAAGAACCGATGTAATTCCAAGATGTACAGCAGCAGTGTATATCATAGGACAGCTGCCAACAGAACACAGAGACGTGAGCATCACACCCACAAACAACTAAAGACCAGTGACTGAAGCACCTACAGCAGTACAAGTAGTGCACCCTACCCTTAAAAAAATCATCCTGTTGGCAGCCTCTCTCTTCTGCAACTAACTTTACATGAACTCTGCCATGCATGTTTGCTTCGTTTTCCTTGACCCAGCCTCGCTCATCCAGGCTAACTTTGCCTTGCGAAGATGGTACGCTACCCCGGCCATGCTGCACCTCTCTGCTCTTTCTTCGAGGTCCCCGAACTGCCTAGATACGTCAGCGTATGGTGGCGGACGAGGAGAGACCAGGGGCTGCGTACACTGGCCCTCGTCTCCCGACGAAGAGTCGGCCTCGTCGTCGTCCGAGTCTAGGTTCAGTTGGTCTAAGTTTATTTAGGCAAGCGACTCCTCACAAAGATCGTCCTTCAGATCTGCAATAATGGCCTCCGCCACGTCCGCTTTCTCCTCTACACCCAACCATGTCTGCACGGCTTCCATGGAAGCCTGGGTTGGCGTTGCGCCAGGTGCCAACCCCAGACCCTTAAGTGCCTCGCCAAGGTCTTCATCGAGAGTTGTCTTCTTCGCCGCTCATGCTCTTCAAAAGGTCGAGCGCTCGAACCTTTTGGTCAAGCGTCGGTCTTTTGCGGTTTTCGGCGCCACGAACTTTCCTAGGTGCAGTGTTTCCAACGGGATTCAAGCTGCCCAGTGCACCCGCTTGCTTCGCCTTCCCCGTTGCCCGCCCGCCCGCGCAGGGACGCTTCGAAGATGCAGCCCCAGCAGTCGAGTCTGTGCTTGATTCCTTGCGGTTGTTCGAGTTGACGCATCCGTGGCAAACACGGTGCATCTCGTTGTCGCTAAGCGGGTCAGGCACACCGCACAGTCCATGAAGGTAGCCTCCGCAGACACGGCATGTGTGGTTCGTAAACTGTGGGGGGGCCGGTGTGTGGTCCGGCGTTGCCACGCAGCGAGACCCCGCGGGGCAAGGCATCCGTGGGAGCCGTTTGTCTCGCTAGCTATGTATGTATGTGATGACACTACTGTAGCTGCAGTGTTGGGGGGCAGCTGATGGGCTACAGGTGGGGGGGGTGGGGGGGGGGCAGGTTCGGTTTAAGAGAATCGGGGTTCGATTTAAGATGTGTGTCTGGCTATTTTGACCTCTCTTCAACCGGCAATTCTCTTAAACTGAGCTCTCTTAAACCGTAGCCCCCACTGTACAAGAAAAACACGGCCAAAGATAATAGGTTGGATGGCACAACCAAAAATAAACGTGGGTACAGGGGACAGAGACGAAGGGAGAAGGGGGCGGGGAGGGGGTGCCCCGTACATGCCACACAGCAAGACATTGCTAAAACTGAAAACACGTACGCATACCAGCTCGCAATAAACAATACCTAAAACAAGAGAGGCAGTGTCTCCTCTCAGGGGACTCGTGTTTTAAACTCTCCTTTCTTCCCCTCCCTCACGAACAGCACCCCTCTTCCGCGCCCCGGCAAATCCCGGTAGGCCAGCAGACCTTGTCCTGGATCGTGTTGCGCCCAAAACGATGGGGCACTGGAAGTGGGCGTTGCCGTATCAGGCGATGAAGACACGGGCCCGACCGCAGATGCGGCCGTTGAAGCAACAGGCGATGTCGAAATGGAAAAAGGGAGGGCAGTGACCCCAGGAGTAGTGGCACGACTTGCCGCTGCAGATGACACCGACGCAGACGCGGACGTACTGGGGGTACCGCCTGCAGAGGGTGGCGTCAGCTTCGACATGGGTTTGGGCAAGTCGGCGTCATCCATGTCATACAAGGCCGATATAGAGGCTCGCAGTGCCATCGCCCTCGGCCCTTCCAGTGTGAACTCCAACTTCCCCCCTGAGGTCGTCGATTTTAGCTTTCTTGGCCAAGCGAGCGTAATCCCAGTGAGACCTATGGGCGGCTTCTTCGTCCAACGCCTGCCTCGACACAACGGCTGCCGACCAAGCTTCCACAGCCGTCACCAGCTTCCCTGTATGGGTCTGCTGGACGCGGCGCGCCTGCTCTTGCGCGTTCGCCGCCGCCACCGCTTCATGCTCTTTTTTCACCTGCGCTCGGCTTCGACTTTCGCCGGCCCCTGCGAACATCCGAATCGCGTTCGACGACAAATCTACATCGGTGTACGCACCGCTTGTCTCCGACCCGCTTTCGTCGCTGGTGCCGGGCGACCCCCTCTTCGACTTCTGCTTCCCTCCGCGACCCTTCGGCCCGGACGTTTTCCGCGTGGTCCTGAGGTCAGGGTCCTCGCTGCTGCTTGGCCTTCCGATAAGGCAGTAGGTGAGGAGATACGGGTGCATCCACTTGTCGGGCCTGTCAGGATACCCGCCGTCTGCTTCTTCGATATTATCGGAGGGGGCGCCATCCCCGCTGCCCTGGTTGCCGACGGCTGGCTCCTCCTTGATTCCCCCCACCGCCGGTGCACCACCTTCGCTCTCCTCCGCCCCACCGCCGTCCTCGACCTGCCCCGGTGGCGACTCCCCATCGTTGCGACCGTTGTCCTGCAAGCCCGCCGCTCCCCCGTCGTCCGCATCGTTGTCTAGATCGTCGTCGATGTCTTCCAACTCGATGGGGTCCTCAGCGTTCCCGGTGCTGAGGTGGTATACCCCGTTCAGAAGGTAGTCGAGGGCATCTCCTTCTTGCTCGCCCGACGGCAGGTTCTCTCCAGGTTGTCCTTCCACCAGACTGGGAAAGGGGCGCACCGGAGCAGGGAGGGGGAGGGTTGGGGTTGCAAGAAGGGGTGAGGTTACAGAGGACAGAGCAAACGGTAAGCGGGGAATACGCAAATATTTTTGTGGTACGTCGGTGGAGTAATTTGGGGGCGGGCTATGCCATGAAGGGGGGCTATGACCAAGGATTCTGGGGTTATTGCTGGAAAATTACAGGGTTGCGGGTTGGGGTTGAATTACCTATTGTTTTCCTGCAGTACACTAGTGCGTTTTGAGTGATGGTGTTGCCTACCGCATGTCGCTCACTCTCTAATCGACCAAGGTCTTGAGTCAACCTTCTTTCTCTTTCGGCCTCTGACGGGCTACCGCATCCAAACACAATATATTGTATGGCCTGGTGTTGGTAGTGGGTATTGGCGTCTGAGCTGTATGTGCCGGGCCGATGGGGCGGTGAATACGATATACATAGCTAAGCTGGGACGTGGCCAACGGGGACGGGACAGCACGGCAGCGGGTAGTGTATAGCTGGGACGGTGGCCATCGGGGACCGGGACAGCAGGGGGTGTATTGCTGGGACAGCGCTTCAGGGCTGGGACAGCAGGGTACAGGATATTTTTCAAGTGTAGGCTATGGCGGAGAGAAGCGGCGGAATAGGAAGAGATTCGCAAAAGGAGGAGACTACAGTTGTGCGCATCAAGATGGAGGAGAGGTCGCGCAACGCAGCAGAGAAGCTACGAGCTGCCGAGTCGGAGGTGGAGATGCTGGTGAAGGTGCTCAGAGCTGCGGAGGCTGCCGAGTATGAGAAGGAGAGACTTAGGCGGCAGCAACAACAACAACAACAGCAGCAGCGATGGAGTGCTCAATGGCAGCAGCAGCCATCGCAGGTACAGCAGTGTTCTCGTGGTGGTTTTGTCCGTCAGCAGAACCAACACTGCGTTTTCACTCAGAGCCACCAGGCGCGGCAGCACCAGCAGTTGGCGCGGCAGCAACAGCAGCTGCCGCCAACCGGAGTTGGTGGGATATATGACTGCGGGAGCAACGCCGTGAATTTCCAGCAGGAATCACCCCCTCCGCCTGGTGCGGTATACCATTGCACTCGGTGCGGCAGGAACGGCCACCACGGCGAAGAATGCACCGCACCCCGCAGGTTCGAGGGTACGTGCGGCGCCTGTGGTCAGTACGGCCATATGTGGGGGAACTGCGCCGTGCATCTTCATGGCAGCAGCGGCGAGGATGACGGCCGTATCGTCCGCGGTGGCTGCTGGATGGGCGTCAATGGCGGCGGCAGCTGCATGGACATCGGTGGAAGCTCGGTCGTACAGCAGCAGGTGGTGGTAGAGCGCGAGTACCGCTCTGATTTTGTCGACCTGGTTCACGTTGGCGGCGAAGTGATGGCAGAGAGCGAGTACCGCTCTGATTTCGTCGACATGGTTCACGCTGGCGGTGCTGTGGTGGGTGATGATGACGGATGGTTCGGATGGAATGATTCTGTGGACATAGTTCACGCTGGTGGCAGTGTCTGCGATGATGTTTTCCCCGCGGCGGCGGCGGGGGGAACGGCCGGGGTCCCCGCGGTGGCGGCAGGAGCAGCGGCATCGGCAGCAGCTCCGGCGGCGACGGCGGCGACCTCTGGCGGCAGTGTTTTCCCCGCGACGGCGGCTGGGGGAACGGCCGGAGTCCCCGCGGTGGCGGGAGGAGCGGCGGCATCGGCAGCAGCTCCAGCGGCAACGGCGGTGACCTCTGGCGGCAGTGTTTTCCCCGCGACGGCGGCAGGGGGGATGATCCGAGTCCCCGCGGTGGCAGCACGAGCGGCGGCATCGGCGGCAGCTCCAGCGGCGACGGCGGCGACCTACGGCGGCGGTAGTGTTGTCGCCGCGACGGCGGCGGGGGGAATTGCCGGGGTCCCTGCAGTGGTGGCAGGAGCGGCGGCATCGGCGGCAGCTCCAGAGGCGACGGTGGCGACTTACGACGGCGGTAGTGTTTCCCTCGCTGCGACGGCGGAGGAAGCGCCCGGAGGGCTCGCGGCGGCAGGTGGAGTAGCGGCATCGGCGGCGGTTCCAGCGGCGACGGCGGCGGTGCCCGGCGACACTGTTATCTCCGCGACGGTGGCGGGGAGAACGACCGGAGCGCCCCCGTTGGTGGTTGGAGTGTCGGTATCGACGGCGGTTCCAGCGGCGACGGCGGCGGCACCCGACGGTGTTGTTTCTCCCGCTGCGGCGGCGGGGAGAATGGCTCGAGAGCCCGCGCAGGTGGCTACAGTGGCGGCATCGGCGGCTGGAGTGGCGACATCAGTGACGGCATCACCCGCGACCGCGGCGACGGCACCGGCCGCTACGATGGCGACCGTCGGTAACGTTTCCCCCACCATATCGGTTGGGGGGGCGGCCAGCAACGGAGAAGCGGTGGTCAACGGCATCGACGACGGCAGCGATGATGGCGGTTGGTGCGCAGGTGAGGTTGATGGCTGCTGGGATGACAGCGTCTGTGGCGAGAGGGGGGCGTCCACGCACCCTTTCGATCCCGGCACCGTGTGTTCGGGGGTGCGCGGCGCCAACTATCCCGGGGTGGACGACCTGGTCGATGGCTCCAGCAGCAGTAGCGGCAGCAACATCGGCAGCAGTGGCAACGACGAGGCAGAGGGGATGGATGTGGCCTGGTCTGGGGCACTGCTGCGCCCCTTCGAGCCGGGGAAGCTGTGCCGTCTGAAGGCTGGGAGAGTGGGGCTGGTGATGGGGATGGACACCCCGTTCGACCGTGGAAAGATGTCGGGTGGGCAACGGCCGGGGAGCGCGTGTTCGCGACCGGAGCAACGACAGGAGGATCATGAAGCGGGGAAGGGAGTTCGGAGGACCGGGCGAGTCCAACAATGACGGCAAGCAGCGCGACTTCTGCTGGGGTCTTAAACTCGGCAAGCCACGTGATGTTTGTTTGCGTATTCTTGTCATTTTTCTGAAATTTGTTTTGTGCAGGATGTTGTTCTTGTGTTTTGATCTTCACATACAATGCTGCATTTTTCACCGTCTGCAAATCATTTTTCCTATCGTTGGCACATTTGCAGGTTTGGATTTGTTTTTGTTTTGTTCTGTAGAGATGCCCACCCGCGTTTTACTTTGCAGGGACACTAATTTCCACGGCCAACTGGCAGGGAATCTCCATGGTAGATTATTGTTTTTCTGGGAGGCAAATGGAATGTTGCGGCCGGGGGGCTGTTGTTTGCCAGGAAAATATCTCAAATGGCGGTGGTAGTATAGTTTCTGCGTACGGTTTGTTCCACTTTGGTTTTTCCTTCTTTGTTGGGATAACATTCTCTATGGTAGTTACCACTATGTTTTTCTGATGGTACTGGATATATGTAAGTAGGCGTTGGCTTGGCGTGCGACGTGCTGGGTAAAGACGTCGGGGGGCACGCACCGTTTCTCTGTCCCTCCGATGTACCGTACCCGGCGAGCCAATCCTTGCGGAGTAGCAATTTTCCTTCCCAAGTAGGCCTGTACGGCAGACTGGTATGTGCTGGACGTGTGACGCCTTTTCTTTGATGATATGTTTTTTTTTCTTGTTTCGGTTTGGAGTTGATGAAGTTGGATGCAGAAATGGCATGCTGGATTTTGCGGAATCACGCCTGATTGTTGCGCTGCTGTCGGAAATCATGGGGGGGGGGATGTGATACCATGCTGTCCGCCGCAGCACAATAAGCAGTGTTTCTAATGTGATACCATGCTGTCCGCCGCAGCACAACAAGCAGTTTTTCTGACACCGGGTGGCAGTTCATGTTGAGATTTTCCTTGTTTTCCCTGGGGATTTTATATGGAATTGATGTTGGCTGATGGGATTTGGGTAGTTCATGTCTGGATCGTTTTCCGCGTTTTACCTGCGGAGGTGACATGAAATTGAATATTGAATGGGATTTTCGTTGCGTTTATATGACGTGTCCCAGCAGGGGGGATGCGGGATTGTTGATTGTCTGTTTTGGATTTTGTTGGTTTCTTCATGGTTGTTTCGGACTTGTTTGTTTGGTTTCTTCGTGTTTGGGTTGGATGTTACAGCAGGGGGGCTGTTGGACTGGTATGTTTGTCAAGGTATTGGGTATTGGAGGAAGGATTTGGCATGTTCTCGTAAGTCATGGTTGAAGCCTTTGTGCTTCCGAAGGTTATTTGAGCTGGTCAATGAGTTGAAGCATGAATGTTTATCTGCGGAATTTGTTCTGAGTAAGTCAGGACGTTGGACACATTTTCCCGGAGTTACCCGTCCCCGTTCTGACGTGATTCTGATGTAATGTGTATCTTTGCTGGGTATTTTTCCAAGGGTATTTGTTTGTTTTTTGACTTCTTGAGAATTTGGTAAAGAATTTTTCTCAAGAGGGTGAATTGTTTATTGACAGACCTTGTAGGAGATAGTAATTTGATATCATCAGAAGATTTGAAATATTTCGTAGAGCATGTTTTATTGGGAGATCGACAGATTTCGTAGAACATTGTTCTATTGGGAAATTGTTTGAATTGGAATGAATGGTAGATTATTTCCGTTTGGATGCGTACATTGATTTATCGCCGTTTTAGCTGGCAATGATAGTCGTGACGAGGATTTCGTAGATCGTATCTCGTACCGAGCAGGGGGGCTGTTTGGGGTGCTCGGCAGAGTATACTGTCTACGGGGTCTCCGGGGGGTACGCGGATGAAATGTGTTGATGGGCATGCTGCATGGCGATGGTGTTGCCTACCGCATGTTGCTCACCTCTAATCAACCAAGGTCTTGAGTCAACCTTCTTTCTCTTTCGGCCTCTGACGGGCTACCGCACCCAAACACCTAGCCAAAACAAAAAAGCGTGTGATGAAGGACCACAATGGCAGCGAAGGCCGGTGGCGAACTAGACACTCGCACAAAAGTATGGAGACGTATTCAGCAGTACATACATGACCCATATGTTGTGTAGGAGCATGCCGTGTGCCCTCTCTTGCTTGTCTCTACTCAATACGACTGCTGGAAGATTAAATCTCCAACACACACACGACTCATGAGCACAACCGATCAAGAGGACATGCTAACTTGCACACATCCACCACGTGTGCGCCAACGCGTCTCTCGTCTACCTCCGGTTTTACAGCATTTGTGCAGGCCTACCCTTCGACACGTGCAGGCCTATCCTTCGACACGACATGAGCTGCTGCCTCTACATCAGCTGCAGCAGAAACACCGCCACCAATCAGCGTCCGTTCCGAGTGTGGGCGTGCCGTTTACGGCTGATTCAGGAGCATACACAACACGCTACGGTAGATGTGTTAGAGCAAAAGCTGTATTGAGCCTCAACCACTGTTGAGGAGCAAAACAGTACAACAAAAAATCTACACACCTGTCCCACACTTTGTTGTACGTCTTCTTCATCTCGCGCATGATCTTGTCGAAGCGCTTCCACAGCTTCTTCCCGTCGTTGAACAGGACCGACGCTGCGGGGCAAGTCGAACAACAAACAGTGGAACAGCAGTAGCACGTCACTGTCAGCAGTAGCAGCACAGACCTTTGCATCCCCAGTACAGCATCCCCTGTACAGCACTAAAGCAGACATGACATTAGCACATGAATCGAACTGTTTGTTTCCTTATGCCACATGAGCGCCTAGCAAACGGCAACATTTCCTGGTGACACCGACGTTGCAGGAGGATGCCCATCGCTGTCAGTCGTCATTTTTAGCCGATAGCTGCACAAAGCCGGGCGTGCTTTATTAGCATACACCTGGGGCTCACCAAACTACGCACAGCCGAGTAGAGTTCTGTTGAAAAGCCTATTATGTGGTTGCTGCTTGGTTGATGCATCGGTGTCGAGGCAGCGCACCCTGATGGCCTGTCTGTCCTGTCAACAACAGGACAACTTTGAAAACATGGTGTTGGGCGCTGAGCGGACCAAACACAGCGCCACCCTGCATCCGGCGTTGCGCATATCGTGTTCAAGAGCAGACCATGGCGCCGCAGACGGTCGGATACGCATTCGAAACCCGCCTCTCTCTGTCGCTACGGTTGGCTGTGTCTCACGTTGAGTCTCACGTTGAAGACACTTGAAGAAACCTGGGACAGCGATGTCCTTGTACCCATTCGCCGCTGCCTGGTACTTCGCCTCCGTGCTGACGATCCCGGCGTTCCGCTTGACCGCCAAGCAAGCGTACACGATGCACACGTCTGGAGGTGCTTGAGAAGCTTGATGGTGGAGAGGCCTTTGCCGCCCAGGAGCAACTCTAACGTGCCCTCGACATACCCATTGTAGTCCAGCGGGAGAGGCTGGACGTTGTCTAGTTTCATTACATCCATGGTACGCGGTGGCTCGTGGTATGTGTGTGTGATGTGGGTGCGCGTGGTGTGCTGAGATAGCTTGTGTGCGTGCGCGCGAGAGAAGCGGCCGAAATGCAAGAATTCAAAATTCGTTCGCGCGCGCACGCCAAACGCCTCCGAGAATCATCGAACACCTCGCTTTTGGAAAAAGACAGCGTAAGAAGTGGGTTGTCGTTTTTCCAGATCTTTTTTTGGGTCGTCTCTTTTTGAGAAAAGGGACAGCCCAAAAAAACACAGCTGGACAAGTGGCCTAACAAGTGGTTCTTTGGGCAGTTGTCCCTTTTTGAGAAAAAGACAGCCCAAAAAAACACAGCTTATTAAGGCCCTAGGCCATTTCTTGCGGTTGTCTTTTTTTATGATTTTTTTCTTTTGTCCTTCTCAAAAAAAGACAATTGGCCGTAGAAGGTCTTCTTACAATGTCTTTTTTCCTCATAAAAATATCGCCACAAAAAGACAACCCGTTTTGGACAGCCCATCCTGTCTTTTTTGGGGGCAGTTTTGGACAAGTGGAGGCTGTCCAAAACTGTTGTCTTTTTTTGGTCACAACCACATCACTCGTACCTAGAAACTTGAATCTCTCGACGGCCCACCGCAAACTCTAATGGCGGTCACACGAGTTGTGTCATGTTGCTGGCTGGTACAGAGTCGGTGGCACCGGCGGTAGCCAATGTTTTTTCAATGAGCTGGACCAGGTGGACAACCCGATGTGTGCGGCAAACAAGAGGCAAACAAACCGAGAAAGCCTGGACGCAGCAGCGGTGGGTCATTTTTCGTGTACTGTCAACCTTGCGAACCCAACTTTTGGGCGTCCTATAGCCTCCTGGTCTGTATCAATCATCACACAAGACGAACCATACGCACAGCTCGTGGCGCATGCCTATATCGTCGCTGTTGCTTGAGTGGGTGGCGAGGGAGTACTGGCAAACCAAAGTTGCGACACGGGCAAAAGAGCGAAAAATGTTGCTTGAAGATGCGGCGGGTCATTTTTCCCGCTTGTCCACCACTCTCGCGCTCACAATTTCTGAACGTCCTATAGCCTCCTGGTCTGTGTCAGCCACAACACAAGACGGACCATACACACAGCTCGTGGCGCATACCTTTGTCATCGCTGTTGCTAGAGTGGATGGCGAGGGAGTACCGGTAAACCAAAGTTTTGACAGGGGCACAAGAGCAAAAAAAATGGTTGCTGGCGCGGTGGGCATTTTGTCAGCGTGCTGTCGACTCTCGGCACCTCCATTCCCGTGCCTCCTATCGCCCTGTGGTCTCTGTCAGCCGCCACCCAAGACGGACCATACACACAGCTCGCGAGGGATAGCCTTACAGTAGGCGCTGCTTCACTCTGTGAGGAGATATCACCGAAAAACCATTTCGGTGGGAAGGTACATGTATGTGTGACAGCAGCCGTTGCAGAGTCTGTTTTTTTTTGGTCGGTGAAAAAGGATCGACAAACACCGTAAGAAGGGGGTCATCTTTTTTGTAGATCCCTTTCTGGGTTGTCCGGAAGGGGGGAAAAAAGATCTGCGAAAAAAGAACCGCAAGAAATGGCCTTTTAGCTGTCCTTTTTTGGGCTGTCTTTTTCTCAAAAAGGGACAACTGCCCAAAGAACCACTTGTTACGTGGTCTTTTTTTGCATTTTTGAACCTCCCGAAAAGGGACAGCGAAAAAAGATCGCCCCATCCTGTCCCTTTTTGGGCAACTTTGTGACAGGATGGGACGGTCCTTTTTTGTTGTCCTTTTTCTGTCACAACACATGACACTTGCCCACAAACTTGACTATCTCGACGGATGATCCCCGCAAACTCTAACGGTATTCGCACGAGTCGTGTCATGTGACTGGTACGGAGTCAGTAGCCTCGGCGATAGACGTAATGTTGTCATTCGGCTGACCAGGTGGACAACCCGATGTGTGCGGCAAACAAGCGGCAAACGAGCCGAAAGAGCCTGGACGCACCAGCGGTGGGTCTTTTTAGTGCACAGTCAGCTTTTGCGAACCCAACTTCTGGGCGACCTATAGCGTCCTGGTCTGTATCAATCATCACACAAGACGAATCAGACGCACAGCTCATGGCGGATACCTTTGTCATCGCTGTTGCTTCGGTGTGTGACGAGGGAGCATCGATGAACCAAAGTTGCAACACGGGAAAAATATCAAAAAATATGCTTGGAGACGCGGCGGGTCATTTTTCTCGCTTGTCCACCACTCTCGCGCTCACAACCTCTGACCGCCCGTCAGCCTCCTGGTCTGTATCAACCACCACACAAGACGGACCATACACATAGCTCGTGGCAGATACCTTTGTCATCGCTGTTGTTTCAGTGTGTGGTGAGGGAGCATCCAAGAACCAAAGTTGCGGCATGGGCAAAAAAGAGCAAAAAAACTGGTTGTTGGCGCGGTGGGGTTTTTCAAGGTGCTGTTGACTCTCGCCATCTCAGTTGCCGTGCCTCCCACTGCCCTGTGGTCTCGATCAGCCGCCACACAAGGCGGACCAAGCACCCAGCTCGCGGGGGATAGCTTTACAGTTGCTGATGCTTCGCTCTGTGCGGAGATATCACCGAAAAACCAACTCGCTCGGTGCCAAGGTACTTAATGTGTGACGAACGGCCGTTGCACTTGTTGCAGGGTCATTTTTTTTGGCGGATGAGCAAAAAGGATCGGCCAGCACGGTAACAAGTGGGTCATCTTTTTGCTAGATTATTTTTTGGTTCGTCCCTTTTTGAGAAAAGGGACAGCCCAAAAAAGGACAGCTTAACAAGTGGCCTTACGGTTTCCATTTTTATTTTTTCTCTTTTTTCTCTCTTGTTTCTCTTTTTTCTCTTTTTTTCTCTCTTTTTCTGTGCCAGATGGCCTGATCTCTGCTTGCGTTGTGAAGTACCAAGATCGAACCAAGGGGGTGTGCCTCTTTCTCCGGCCCATGATAGATAGTGACTGCTAGTCTCAGCTGATACCTCGCATAGCGCGCAGAGGGAGTGGAGGATTCCAGAATATCTGTCGTTGATTTCTATTGACTTGCGCACCCTTCGGGGCCAGTTTATTTGAGTGTACCTTTTTTGGGGTAAGTTTACCTGTGACCACGGGAATCGACCGCGTCAAGTGTTGGATCAGTACGGACATACGAAGGTACTGGGTAGAGAGAGATCGGAACGGTGTTTAAAGTGAAGACAACAACAACAACAACAACAACAACAAGCCATCACAGGATCGAATCTCTCGTGTCATCTTCTTCTTCTTTTCATCTTCTTTTTTCCTTCTGGATACAACACGTAGTTCTCTGCCTCGTTTTTTTCCCGTCTTCTCTGATTTTCAGTCATTTTCTTTGAGTCTTTCTCTCGCATGCATGTGGTTTTTGCTTTTATCCGTTCCCGTGAATGCTGTTGTATGCACTTTCCGATTACGTATGCAGCCGCTTTGTATACCGTGGGACTTGTCAATACCATCAGTGGGGACTTGTCAATACCATCCGTAGAGACGATAGCTTACGTGAGCATATTGTCGTCGATGCCTTCAGCTACATTGCCCGTCTGTGCGCGGCACAGACAAGGTTGTCTGGCAAGTAGTCCCGAGTAAGCCGGGGGAAACAGAAAACAAGGCACCTGCATCATGTGCCTAATCTTGACAGCATCATGCCCTACTGCCGCGGGTCGATTGGTTATGTCCGATGCCGCAAGGTTCCTCCACCCCGTGCAGTACAATGGCTGCTATCGTGGCACGTACAGCAACCGCGCAAGTCAGCGTGCCACCATACAACAGGCCCCGCGCTTTCTTTTTTTCTCGGTGAATTTTGTTCAGCGAGAGTACATCTCGGTTGGGATGAACCGCATCCCATGTTTGGGAAGGTACCTATCTGAGCGGCGTGGCGAGCGAGACTGCGGTACGCCGGCTTGCCGCCGCTTATCTTACTGCACCCTCCCCCCTCGTAATAGCACGCAGCGGTGAGGTCACAAGAGTAGCGGGACGCGGATAGGAACACGGCCGACACGATGGATGTTGGACACCAGTACACACCTTTATATGCAGGGTCCCGAGCGCGCGCTGGTCGCTTCCCCAATGCTTGCGCCGTGTCCCGTCCCGTC